GATCATTGTTGCAAGTCAAACACTTCTTCGAATTCCTCTGAAGTTGGACTAGTGCCCAAGACGCAACAGGCATTTCCCCTCTGAATCGCAACACTGAGGCGCTGGAACAAGAAACTTTTTGCTCTCTGGTCTTTTGTAGCGCTGATCAATTTGTCCCCCAATTCCTTCAGGAACTTCAATGCACATTTTCCCCACGAACCGAGGGTCTCCGAGCCGATCGGAACAAAGCTGTAGCAGTGTGCTAGACCTCTGTATTTAATAATTTTCTGCGATTCCCTGAAAGAAGCAGCACCACCGCTTTCACGTGTGCTGTAGTGGAGGTAGGTACTGGCCAGTGTGGCAGCGCACGTGTAGTCCCATACCACTTGCTTACCATCCTTCCAAGGTAGCAAGGTGACCCCATCAGGGTGCTTCTGAGGGTCGTTAGGTCTGGATAAGTGTGGTTCTCTTTGTGCCGGGCAGCGGGCTGTGGCGAGGCTCCTCTTGATGATGTCGTTGACTTCTTCATGTTTTGCAATTTTACCCTGTGATTTACGACATACCAGACCATGACGACCATATTGGTCTGCCATCGCAGTTCCGCAGATGCACCTATGTTCGGTGAGGATGGGGGCGGCAAGGCGAAGGGCAACTCCAATGCGGAGAGCGTCATGACTGAGGCGAGTTCCCAGGGCTGCATTGGGCACAGCAAATAAAAAATCCCCGGCGTGGGGTGCTGTTACCGCTAGGAGGCGGGCTTTGTTTTCAGCATCAGCGTTATATAAGACTAGAAATAAAAATGAATTTTGGAGAATTGATTTTTGATTTACCTCCAACAGTGAAAAGAAATGTACGAAAGATTGAGAAAATTCGTGTTAGAATTATTAATCTTACTTTTTCGGTCATATTTAATAATATATGTCTACAGGAAAGACTGCTACCAGAAAGACTGCTATATATATATATATATATATATATATATATATATATATATATATATATATATATATATATATATATATATATATATATATATATATATATATATATATATATATATATATATATATATATATATATATATATATATATATATATATATATATATATATATATATATATATAGTATGATGAAGTTTTAATTTTATTTTGTGTTATAATTTTAACATTTTAGAATTTTATTTTGTGTTATAATTTTAACATTTTAGAATTTTATTTTGTGTTATAAATTAGATGCCATTGTTAAGTCTACTGCCATTTGTATTTTTACAGTGCTTGTCATAAGAGTTCATTAATGTTCTAGCAACCACATTGAGGCCAGTGAATCCTGACTGCTATCATGCAGATGTTAGTCTTCTTGATCCAGGTCTTGTATATAGCTTGTAAATATATTGAACATTAAATATATTGTACATTGGTCTTGTAAATATATTGTACATTGGTCTTGTAAATATATTGTACATTGAAAAAAAATCTTCATTATCTAATCTTAAAATTCATTTGTGGTTGTTAGGTCAGAACTTTGTTCATTAATGTAATAATTGTTTAATTTTGTATGGTTTTCAAGCACATGCCATTGACACATGTTAATAATTTTGTTTAGGCAATACCTTGAGTTGTATTGTTCATATCTGATAAGTAGACATACACATGTTCTTAATACTCTGGTTTAATTAAAGCATTATTACCATGATTTTTCACACCTGATCTTCTTTCAATGTTTATTATGCAAATTTCACATGTAAGCCATTATTGAATGCCACCGAGGTCCTTTCAGTATCATTGTAACTATATAGCTAGCCAGAGCTTGTCGACAAGGGACGTCGACTTGGTAGCGTGTCCGAGCGGTGTTATACTCAAATTCTATGACAAGTTGGAACATAACCAATCACAGGCGAGTAGGCCTCTGACGTCATGCCAGTCAGACAGTCACCAGCCATGCTCCCAGCAGGCTCAGTTCTCTCACAGACCCAGAGTAGGTGGACCTTGGCTGGCCAGTTATACGCCTTGCTGTCTTAGTCAATAAAACTACAGAAGCGCCTACTGAGTATAATCAACCCCACAAGGCAACGAATATATAAGCTGTGTCATGTAGATAAGTTCGCCCCAGTAAACTAGTGGATTTTACAGGCACAGTAATAAGATCTACGTGAATTATTCAGATTAGGCCAAATTGTATATTTTGTCAACAAAGATGTTACTAATAATGCTCCTTGAACTTTCACACTCTCCCCAGCTCCCCCTTCTGAACGCGTCTGCCTTGTCCCTCTGTAGTTGTCTGGCGGGAGGCTGGGACGGTAGTCACTACAAGATACTCCGTCATCTCCCTCCATGCACCTCTGTGTTTGCTGCATATCTCAATGTGTATTTGGGAGACAACATCGATCACTGACGACTGGCTCCTGGCACTTGTTCTTCCCATTTGATAATCTTGTATAATCTTCGTCAGCTGCGCTTTTAGGCATCAACATTCATTTGCCATTGTGGTTGACTCTAGCAGCGCCTTATGGCTCAGTGCCTCATGGCTCTGGCGTCCCATGTGCTGTTCTTATCTCCACCAGATTTAAGAATTTCGAATTTTCCCGGGTATCCGGCCATATTGGAGTTACCTGTGATGAACGTGTGGTCACCAAGGCCAAGAAAGCTATTCATATTTGTCCCATTTCCCGAAAAGGTATTTTTTATTCAGATTATTCTGAAGATTATTCAGATTATTATATACCCGGTAATTCATTCCTCAGTCCACAACCATTCACAGAGTTTATGATTTGGCATTACAGGTAATAAACTGGGCACTTATCTAATTAGTCTTCCCTTACCACCATAATACAAGGTGGGAAACTGCTTTGGTTAAGTTAGGTATCGGCCACCCTCGCTTAATGCACACTTGATGCAACACTTGACACTTAAGGCCACACTTGATGGAACAACGCCCTGCTCCTCATTGTCCCCACTGCACCGTCCCCCTTAGTCGTGCACCTCCTTGAAGAATGTCCGGATTTTGGGGATGATCATACGTCTCACTTTGCTAATGTTCCTCTTGGTCGCTTGTGCCTTGATAGTCCTCTGTGACTCTGATTCCTTTGATGTTACTCACCTTATGACCTTTTGTTCTTATTTTGGCATCTTGAGTAATATTTAGCGCCTTTTGAATATCCCGCGACACAGACGGTGCTACCTAGTCTGCCGGGGTTGGCGACTTGTTTTAAAAGGTAACATACTTATTAAAGAAGGCTACCAGTTGACTTTAAGTAGGCTACCCTATGAAGTCAATTGCTGAAAGAGGAGTGGGCTTTGCAACCGCTATTATTTGCATAAGTCCTCCTAGTGTAAGACGGTGAAATAAAACCTGTCACAAACCTCACATCAGACCTTGAATCATTAGCCTCCTACAATAGTTCTTACAGTAGAACTGCAGCTCTCTTCTACAGCTCCTCTTGCCACTTTGTTGCCTTCAGATAGTACAGCTCGCCTTCACATTTCACCCCATATTATAGCACACAGTGCAGGGTACTGTGTTCAGGACTAAAGTATTCTTTCTGATTGGTCCGAAAACCACTGTGGTTGCCTTAATAACTCTCCAGTGGTGTTGACCAGACCACACACTAGAAGGTGAGGGGACGACGACGTTTCGGTCCGTCCTGGACCATTCTCAAGTCGATTGTGACTTGAAATTAAGGAATGTGACAAGTCAATCCTTAATTTAGCCACGTTATTGTGACTCATCCCCTCCAGTGGTTGATAGGCTTTAAGCCTAACACCAAGCATGCAGTACAGATACAGTTTGGGGACAAAACTAATAGTACTGTAATTTGTAATAGTTACTGTATTAATTATAATAAAGTTATTACAGACTGACATATAAACATTTAAGAATGTAAAATTAGTTTTGCATAAATCAATTAAATCCTGAGGCAGTAAATCAATATTTGCAAAGCAGTAACAGGCACTCCGCGGTGTTAACCTGAGAACAGATCTCTACTGTTTGAGCGAACTCCCTCACTCCCCAACCCGTCCTCGCCCCAGCCCTTGAAGTCTCTGCTCGATCCAATGGATCCATTCATCTATTTTTAAGTTGCTCCTCAATGCTTTTAATAATTTTCTTGATTTTTTTCTCTCCCATTTTACGCTGTTTTTTTTATATTTATCGTCTATTGTATTGAGCTTGATGCTTCCCCTGGGACATCTAGCTCAGGGGCATCGACTCGAATCCACCTCGTGTCTGCACTGTTATCTTTCACTCTTGAACTCATCTTCAGTCGAGTGATTCCTTCGCCCAACCACTTGGGCTGGACGGTAGAGCGAAGGTCTTGCTTCATGCAGGTCTGCGTTCAATCCCCGACCGTCCAAGTGATTGGGCACCATTCCTTCATCCCCCGTCCCATCCCAAATCCTTGTCCTGATCCCTTCCCAGTGCTATATAGTCGTAATGGCTTGGCGCGTTTCCCTGATAACGCCCTCCCCCTCCTTCGCCCACCCCTACCACTGCTTTCCTCTGTCAGAGAACATTCCTCTATCTCCTCACCGCTTGCGTTACCTCGGTCACATTCCTACGACGTGTTATAGTTGCGGGAGCTTGTGTCAGGGAGAGTCGGAGCGCTCCTTCACGCTCAACGCATGTGGACAATTTTCTCAACTTTGCTCAAATTAAAAACGTTTAGTTTTTGCATTTTTCTACGGTCTTGTCATGTTGTGTGGGGCTGGTCTTAGTGTGGTAGTGAGAGCACTCGTGCTCTGGCCAGTGCCACGCCACCTCTGTACTCACCTCAAACCACCTCAAATTAACACACAGAAATCACAATAACGTGATGCATCAATGAACACATCCACAAGCTCAGTCGATTAATGCAGTTCGAATCCTCGTCACGGCCTTTGTGGATTTGTTCACCTCAAGGTAACTTAGTTGTGCTTGCGGGAGATGAGTTTTGGCTCTTTGGTCTCGCCTCTCAGCTGTGATGGATAGATAATGAAGACAGATTGACAGATTTTTTTTCTTAAAACAAAGATTGTACTTTCTACAGGAGGTCGGAGCCATGTCTCATCATTACCACGCTGCCAAGACAGCAACGGAGGACGCCACGACGACGACAGCGTTGCCCCCTTTCCTCCTCCTCCCAAAAACTACCACCCAGAACCCCCTTCACCGCTCACCCACAGGGCCACAGCAGTTCTTCCACCGCCCATACAAAAGAGCAACTTATTAGTGCCTCCACTACCACCTTTGCTGAAAAAAAGCGACAACGCATCTTCACAAAGCTTGTCCAACTATTACATTCCTCCTCCACCATCTCCCACTTCCAAGGGGTCGACAATACCTCCACCACCTCCACCACCACCGCCCCCTCCTCCGCCGCCTCCTCCTCCGTCGATCAGACTGGGACAGTCTGTCCGGGACGGTGATGAACGTCTCCGTCCTCCAGCCACCTTGCTCGACCAAATACGAAGCGGCACGAAACCCCTCAAGGTGGGTCGCAGACTGCTGCTGTACTCTTTGCCAGATGTTAAGTTCTCAATTTAGAAACTAGCCTACTAAAAATTATTTCATGATGTTATTCCTAACATCATAAAATTTTGAAATTAAATTTTAGGATGATAACATCATCCTAATTTTGACATATAAACGCACTCTTGAGTAATTATCCTAGAGTGGCTATATATGTTCTTGCCCCTTCCCACTCCTGTTCCCTTTTGTTTTGTTCCCTTCCCCGGAGCCACGAGGCACTAATCCCAGCTTTGTGTACGCACCAGCAGAAGGTGGAAGCAGCCCCCAAGCCAGCCCAGACAGACGGCAGGATGCAGCTTCTCGATGATATCAAGAACGGCACCTTCAGGCTGCATAAGGTAAGAGTGGCAGTGGATGGGGGATTACAGTTACCGGGTCTGGGGGAGAGAATGGGGCTACAGGATACATTTAAGGACCGAGGGAAGAATAGAGGAAACTGCACCTCGTATATTTGCCTTGACCAACGCTGGGAAAAAATCCATCGACCCCCACGCCTTTTATGTTGCCTGGTAACCCGTTTAAAGCCAATATTTATCCAGTTTTTTGTTCTGAACTTAGAGAGATGGCTTGAACTGTTACATTTTGTGTGAGAAAGTGAGAGGGGCAGAAGCAGAAAGGGGCAGGGGCATATAAAGGTGGGAAATGGAAAGGGAGAGAGAGATAAATATTCAGACAGGCAGACAAAGAGACAGGCATACAGAGAAATGTATAAGAATTAGAGGTAGGAGAAGAGAAGAGAGGGAGGAACAAGAAGTGAGCGTTGGATCAGAGGAGAGAGAGAGTTGTAATTTACTACCTGTCTTGCCTAACTTCAGGTGTCCTTGTCGGAATGTGACACCAAGGGGGACGAGCCTCTAGGCCTGGAGGGGATCGCTCTGGACCTGCACCGAGCCCTCCAGGAACGAGCGCAGTTCATCCAACCAGACGACGGATCCGACGACTCCACCCCGGACGACGACGACGACAGCGAGTGGGACACAGACTGATCCCGGGACAGACTGATCCTGGGACACAGACTGATCCCGGGACACAGACTGATCCCGAGACACAGACTGATCCCGGGACACAGACTCATCCCGCAGCCATGATGGAACGGTGGTTGGAGGAGAGCTGCCGCCCAGTTGGGTGGGTGTGGAGCAAGCTTTGAAATTGAAATTGAAATAAGTTTATTGAGGTAAAATACACACAAAGGGATGAGGTAGCTCAAGCTATTCTCACCCCGTTCAGTACATCGTGTTAATACATACATAGACACACATCACAAACAATAAACATATTACCAAACATTCTGAGAGATAAACATCTACATTTCCTTGGAGCAAGCTTAGGTGGTTGGTTGCCTTGTATTGAGACTGTTGTGAACCTCTTCTTTAATTACATGTGATATAAAAAGATGATTGATATGTATATGTTTTGTGTGCATGTATATATATATAAATATGTATATGTACATGTGTAGGTAATATTAACAATTGTTTAACTATCTTCACGAGATTGTTACTGGCTAGTTAAACGAACTATGGAGGTTCAGTTCTTGAACCAATTATGTGCCTCTGTAACCCTTTCCACCACCGCCCACGGGATGGGTATGGGGTGCATAATAAATAAATTAAATGAAAAATGAGGGTACAAATAGCCAGTACACACCGACGAGCCGGGTGTGTACTGTACAACACAGCTCTGAATGATCCTAATCATCAATAACTATATCGTCTGAACCATCCTCTGACGCTGGATTAGAGTTGGCTATAATCCGATTATGTGATTAGTGTCTAAGAAAGAGAAGTCGAATTGAAGAAGAAGAAGTTTCTACCGTCCTCTGACTCGCGCCAGAGGACGGTAGAAACAGCCTAAGCAACTCATCTAAAAAAGAAGCCTAAGCATCTTTTTAAGATGCATTTTATTGTCTCAATAAAAGTACTTGAAGTTTTCTCGCGCCAGAGTGCGTGTTAAGACCCTTCATATTGAGGTTCTTGAGTATCGTCGCCCAAGATAACATTGACTTCTAATTCAATTAAATTTCTTTATTATGCACCGCGCCCTGCTCAGGCGTCCTCGACTCCGCGCCCAGCTCAGTGCACCTCCATACCCATCCCGTGGGCGGTGGTGAGCCCGTTGGTCTCCCTATTGGGAGCACTTGTATTTTTGTTTTCAATAAAGATATCTTAATGAAACTTTTATTTCATAATTTTCGTGTGTTACGTTGTAGTTATATGCAGATAATGATGCCTAGACTAACCAAGTGTGCGGATGTAGGTGAGTTATAATAACCACCATCACGGTCGCAAGTCTTCCCTCTAAAAAAGATTAGGCAAAATTGTAATTAATTCTGTCAATAAAGATGTTAATAATAATCTAAAAAAAGAGATGTTGTAGAGTCTCTTACAACATCACTTACAACAATAAGTGTTTCGTCTACACTGTAGACAACACACTTATTGTTTCTGGAACTAAAGTGGCAACTGCACGCCTTATGTCTATGATTGTCAGACACAACATAAGTGAGTCCCTATGTGGGACTTGCGTCTGTCAAACAATATTGGCAAAATTATACATTATATAACGCAAACATTGACTATAATACCCATACTCTCGGGCACATCTTGAAACAAATAATATGTTTGGAATTGAGTATTTGCTTGTACAAAAAATTTAGGCTATTTATTAGAACTAGTGAATATAATTATTGTTCCCCATGTTGAATATTTACTATTATTATTTTATTATTATTATTCTTGTGTTAACAATATATTTAATATTTGGGGTAAGAGTTGAGGAGAATATCTCATGGAGATGTAGACAGTGTTTTAATGTTTTAAGGGGGTAGAAATAGCCTAAGCTACTCTATCCCTTTGAGATGTATTTTTTTTCCTTGTCTCAATAAACTTACTTGAACTTGACAGTAGTCTGGGTAATATTAGGTGAATTACCAGCATAAGGGAAGCCTCACGGTCGTATATTGCTTCTTTCATGTCATTTATTGCAGTAATTATCACTGCAGATTCAGTGTATACTTGTCACTAATTTTATATACTTTGCTTAATATTAATCGTACTCATGTTGCAAATTTTCAGTATATCGTATTTACTAATTTTTAATACACTTGAAGTTTAACTACACGTATTGTAACTGACGAACCACTACACATTCTCGTATACCCTGATTTTTTTGTATTTAGTTTATTATCTACAATTACAGGGGGACATAATGGGCTCAGAAACTTGACCTAAAAATTAATTTAGCTAAGGAAGTTAGTTTCTGGTTCAAGACATCAAGAAACTCAAGAGGTTCAGGAATGGGGCCTGCATCCCTGGACTTTTCAAACTCGTTATTTACAATATTATTTAGAGTGAGTTTATATGAGTATTATTTAGAATGGGGTTTGAAAAGTTGAAGGTAGTATCGTCAGCAAATATTATAGGTTTAAGAACGGTAGAGACATTTGGGATGTCATTGATGTATATAAGATACAAGGGAAGGTCCAAAGATGCTACCCTGTGGCACTCTTATGGTTACTGGGAGAGGTTGTCATTTATGGCTATGTACTCACCTAATTGTGCTTGCGGGGGTCGAGCTCTGGCTCTTTGGTCCCGCCTCTCAACTGCCAATCAATTGATATGTGTTTTTGATGAGCTACGATCGTGGATAGTTCAACGCAAGGCCTCGAATTACATAATGCTGCAGTTTAAGTAGGTTATTATGATTTAAGGTATCGAAAGCCTTTCTCAGGTCAGTCAGTTTGTTTTATTAACACATTTAGGTACATTTGCATTTGTGCAGCTACCCTAGACTGTATGAAAGGGAGCACAAAGCATGTTAAGACGTGATGCTAAAAATCCCCATCACACAGGAGGGTTAGTTATACAGGGCCTAACCAGTAACCTGCACTGGCAAATTTTGGGTGCATTATGAAGATATCAAGAACACGAGAGTTAATCAAGTGACTACAATGCTCCAGGTACCTCATGCTGTCGCTGGGGGGGGGGGGGGGGGTCTGATGGATCTAATAACTGGACATTGGGTGATGAAGTGTGGGAGATCATGCCCCAGTTCCTGCTCACAGAGTTTGCACCTGGAGTGCTCAGGATTGGGAGATCCGTCACCTGTAGTCACCTGCCACAGGTAACGGTAACCCAACCTGATCCTGGAAACACCATGTCGCGAACACTGGTCAGGTCAGTGAAGAGACCAATTGAACTGTGTAGATTAAATCAAGCAAGCCAATAATGACATCATTGGTAAATCTTTGGTATTCGAAGCCGAATTAGTTGGAACTTAATACTGTATACTGAATGACCAAACGATCCTCGTCGACGGTTTGGTCAAATCTTCAGATACGTTGTAACTCTTCGTCTGCATATTGTATATTGAATTTTACAAGGAAGGAATAAAGCTCTTTAAATAATCTTTTCAAATACTTTTGGTAACAATGGTAGGTTTTATCATTTTAAAACGGTAAAACAATTATCAGATGTATATAATTGCAAATGCCTGCAATTGATTGTCAGCTGTATCACCCTGTTATGAACTGGAGTTACTTTGAAAAGCGAAGTTATGCCAGATGCAGGAATATGAATAACACTTGTATATCAGTTTGTGCTTCACGAATGTTCCTTCCTTTGGCTGTAAATGAGTGAATTATTGAATTATTGGTAACAATGGTAGAATGGTACAACAATTGGTAACAGAGACAATGTTTGTCGGGCTGATTGACAAAAGGAGTAGAGAGTTAGGATAGCTGCCCGTGAGATATGCACGTGTCTGGGTCTCTGGGATATTTCCTGCAAGGTTGATACCAATTGACGAGAAGGAACTATTAAATTCAGTTGCAGTTTCTAAATCCCGTGTTTTTTTTCCATCTTTGGAGAGTTTAATGGCTTTGTTATGTGGGTTTGTTTGAATGGATTTGTTAGATCCTAGGATATTTGAGATGAAAATGAAAAAAAGCCTAATTTTCATAGGCTTTCATGTTTCCTTTTGTTTCTTTTTTCTTTTAATTCTTTTCTTTTTTAAATAGGATAGTTAGTTCTTATTATTATATTGGTGTGTTAGTTTAGTTTAGTTCATTTATTATGCACTCCATACTGTTACGGTGCCCTCTCCTATTTCTTTCGTTTGCCTGCTTTAAGAGTCATATCAGCTCTCCCTACTGATTCTCTGAGGTTCAGGGAGTCTATTGATATATGTGGCGACCAGACCGGCTGCCAGTTAAGGGAGAAAGTTACATTATAAGTTGTAAGTAAGGGGAAATTGGCGCCCTGATACAAAATGAAAGAGTATCCCCTAATGCAGATATGACGTTTTGGAAGGGACACAAGCCGATCGCGGATTGGCCGACTTAGGTCGCGGGCGACCAATCAGGGCCCGCCATGACGTCACCGAGTGCCCCGGGCGGCGCCAACGTCAGAGTTGACCTGACCGTGAAGGTGAGAGGACGCACCTCGGTCAGCTCTCAAGGATTTGAGGCTCTACAAGCCTTTCTTAGTGGATTAGAGCTGGCTATCGAACCCATCTTGTGTATTGGAGACCCCGCGCTTCTGGGAAGCAAAAAGGAACCAAGTTTATTGAGCAAAAGAGTGTCAAACTTGGAAAATATTCGGCGACGACGCTGGACGTTGAGGGTCTGGAAAGGTGTGGCGGGCAGGCCTAGCTGTGACCAGGTCACATCCACTGAGGGTTTTGGAAAGACGACACCGTTGCTAGGACAAGGAGCAACGCCTTGTGGAAGGGGCGAGTGTGGGAAAATAGTGATTAGCTCAGCGCCTATCGATGAACCAGGATTGGGGTAGCTGAATCTCCGAGATTGGAACGGCGACGACGCGAAGGCTCCACGACACCTGAGGACCTGTGGAACGTTCCTGGATCGTCAAGGATCGACTCAGGAAGCGTGGGAACCTCACACCATCGAGGGACAGGCGTCGTGAGCCAGGAATGTAAGTTAGATCATTTTCCCTCCCATTACCCCTTGTGTGAGTAAGCTAGTTAGGCCACAATATTTACTTATGTATGTGGCAATAGGACATTAATACTTTAGTAGTAGGATAGGCTGCAAGGCAGCTTGTGTCCAGGACTGTCAGAGGGGACAGTGTGTATGGATGGCAGGACAGTGAAGAAGAGGCGCCGACGTGGTGAAGAGGCCCTCCCGTGAGAGAGTGTGGGACTCCTGTCTTTCTGCCCAGTTGAAGGAGTGTTGGAGGTCGTGGAAGAAGAGGCTGACGATCTCCAGACTTATTATCCTTATTTTCATATTCATGTATTACTTGTGATTGTATGTGTGTTCATGTAATTTGCATCAGTAAATTCACACTTTTATCATTGTTTAAGTGTGCCTCCATTATAATATTTCTCTATGAGCATACACGAAGGTTATCATAGTACCACCTAGGAAACACTACGTTCTCTATAAAAGTTCTTATTGCCTGGAGAGTGATAAAGACAGCACGGACTTATATAAAAGTGTACCCTTAGCCATCCGATCAGTATCAGTGCCTGAATGGTGGCAACTAGTAACGTAGTGGCTAGAGAGAGGTAAAGCCACACAGACCTTCCTGGGGGAGAGTACCCTGGGCCGACAGTCTAGTAGCAGATCTATGGGAGTAGCAGTCTTCTGGCTACAAACAATATATAATACACCCACTGAACTGCATTGCTGGGGTGCAGATATAATAACCCAGCTGGCGACCTTGTTAAGAAGAAGATAGAGAAGACAGGCGGGAAAGGAGTTCCTGCAACCTTTTTGTCTGGCAGGCAAGACTCGGGGAGGTTATGGTTATAAGGTAAGCCTGAGTCTTCCTTCACTCCTCCACGGGTCTAGGCCGGAACTGTTAATTTAACAGCAGTTTCCCCGTGTTTGACTGAAGGGCTTCCAGGGTGAATCAGTGGCACCCCTTTTGTGGTGGAAGCAAAGACCTGCGGAGATGGGCATTGTTGGTCCTCTCCTTTGTGACCAAGGAAACTCCGGTGAATCCCGGGAGTCGGAGGGGCTGAGTATTCGGCCTTTTGAGTCCCTAGCAGCTGAGTGCTAGCAGAGCCCCGGCCCACCCCCCGTGACAATACCCATCTCGTGGGCGGTAGTGGAAAGGGTTACAGAGGCACATAATGGGCTCAGGGACTGAACCCCACAATTCATTTAGCTAAGCAAGTTACAATCTTGATGAGCTTGTTACAAAATTCAGAATAAGTCGTCACATCAACAATGGGTTCGAGATCTGCCGAGTATCTCTTTACTTGTTCTTTTCTAACTAGGCCGTTCTTATTTTTTTTATTCGTGCTCCTTGGTAACTGGCTTAAGTATGCCTCTTGTGAGGCAGATGTTGCTTAATGGTGAGACGAGGACAATTTGTGTGTTGTAGAGGCTTAGGGTTATGGCGAGGAATACCATGCTAGTAAATGTATTTGTCATGTATATTATTATAATTCAGATATTGCCATTACCAGGTTCTCTTGTAGTGTTGTCCAGCTGGAGCAGTCAACAAGGGCTGCTTCACGATAATTTACAGCAGAGACTGGTCAGGTCGTTAGTAATTGGCTTCTCAGAGGCTCTTGGAACAAACGTCACAGTGCCCGGAGTTGAGCTGTACCGTGAGACACAGTGCAAGGGTTCTACCCTCATGCAAAGTTGGCGATAGTGACACCACACTATAGATGCTGGATACAATTAATTACAGTACTTAAAATGCATAACATTTTACATTAATTGTGCGTCTTATGCCAATACTACAGTGTCTAAGTAACACTGTACCATGATCATTTGTTTGTTATTAAAATATCATGTGGTCCTTTGGTAAATATATTTGTTAACCATAATATATTTAGAAGAAAACGAGACTTGAAACTCGAAAAGGAAAGCTATGATGGGTAACAATTATATTTGTATATTGCAACCAGGACCTCATGCAGG